GTCTCATTTTGTCCTGAGATGTTTTGATGCATAGTGATTATGACGCTCATCATTCGCTCCCTTGTCACTGGACAGTTCTGTCCGTTTGGTTTTAGCGAATTCAAATAAAGAAAACAACAACAACAACAACAACCGACGACCCCAGCGAAGAGAACAAACGAGCAGACGTTGACACCTCATTCGCAGATGCAAATGCGCCCGCTGCTCATTCTGCCCCATCAAGAGGAGAAAGGAATCGCAACTCTACTTGCAATTCTCCTGTGACATCTGATGATCAAGGAGTAGTGCTAAAAAGATCCCAAACTGAGCCGCTACACAGTATGAAAACTGTCAACACTTCTGAGAGTATTCACCAGGCACCTCAGCCATCGTCTGAAGATTTTGCGCACCCACGGAGGAGTTCCAACACCAAGCTAGTAACAAGACCATCGCGTTCCCGTCTACCACCGCTGGAACGTCGGGTTTCTTCCGAGTTTCCACGACTCGTTGAAAGCCAGCAAACGGTGCAGGAGTTACCCCCTGCTGGGATTGAAGCGGCTCAGAATACTGATTCCATGGTATCCCCTCTGCAAATTGGAGGTGGCTCTCCGCTTTCCGCCCTGCCCCTTCTTCCCCCAATTTCCGGGTATGCGGGCACTCAGGAAACTCGCAAGTCCCCAATGCTCAGCCAAGACAGCGGGTTGCTTCTTTCTGACCCGGCCGCCAAGCCATTCCCAATGCCCAATTTCGTCCAGCAGACTGATAATACTATGCCATTGATGGGAAATTCGCCTGGCGGTAACGAACACAAAGTCAGTCCACAGCCCAACAGCAGTAGTGTTTCAGTAGCCACAAACCCGGGCGGCATTGCCCATAACCCTGCAGGCAAGGAGGCCGTCGGCCTGGGACAAGGTCGCTCACCACCCCTGTCAGACCTATTCGGTGGTATTGTTCATCCTAGTAAAACTAATGCCGTGGACACTTTCGTACCCTGTCTTGTAGATTTACCAGGGATTGATTAGTAACCCTCCTCCTGATTGATAGTAAGATATTATTAATTTTTGGCATTCAGCTTTAACACTCACTGGTCATCATGTGAAGGTGCCATACCAACCTGAATCTGATATTATTAGATAAGCCTTGATGTGCATTTATGTGTGACTGGACATTTATGTGTGACTGGACATTTATGTGTGACTGGACATTTATGTGTGACTGGACATTTATGTGTGACTGGACATTTATGTGTGACTGGACATTTATGTGTAACTGGACATTTATGTGTGACTGGACATTTATGTGTGACTGTCACTGTTACCACTGTCATTAAAATAATTTTAGCCATGAGTCTAATCTTTAGGCTTGCAGTGCGTGATCAAAGTCAAGTTTTTGCCGTGGGCTGTCGACTGCCCTCCACATGTATCAAAGGAGGCGAAACCGTCTGTTTCTGGTGCGACGTTAAATAAACTTCTACCACAACAACTAACCATTGGTGGATAATAATTATTGTAATGC